TGATAATTGATTATGGTGGTTTGTTCCACTTATTTATTTCACTTTACGCTTGTTTCTATGTCGCTCTAATCATTGCTTACCAAAAGAAATTGTCTGAATAATTCTGTTTCTGCATGTTGATTGTTCATCATATGTATGCTTTGTTGTAATTGTAGAGCTTCTAGAAACCTGATTTTGGCTTCATAGGATGCTCATAAGATCCATGCTAGTTGAATTCTTTATTTCTTTTTTGCTTTAATCTTTTCCCTTTTATGTTTCCTTGGCCAAAGACTAAAATCAACTGTTTTATTTTTCTTCATGCCCTTTTAAATGTACTTTGAATTTCCAGCATAAGTTAGAAATTTTAGAAATGTGCATATTTGGTGTCTGAGTTTGATTGTTCCTGGGGCGGTGCCATCATAAAGGACCATATCTGTAAGTCACTGACTATCTTTCTTCTTGAAACATACATGGTTGTTTGGTTTAGTGTCATTAACGTCAATGTCATTACTTGTGGGATGTATGGAAGTGTTTGTCTAATGAAATCATTCATTAGTCTCTATTTTTCCTCACTGTGATGCAGATGCATTCTTGCCCATTTTAGAATATTCTTGAATTGAGTAATTGTTTTAGACGCGGAGATGTCAACAAAAATAAATGGAAAACAAGGTAGGATGCCGAGTGTCTTGGCAAGACTAATGGGTTTTGATGAACTTCCATCTTAGCAACCTTACAAGAAACAGAAGCAGCAAAGAGTGCTTTCAGATAATTATCTTCATAAAGTTGCTTCTATAGGTGTTTGGGAGAAACGCTCATCCAGTGAAAACCATCCATTTAGGTTTAGCATTGAAGATCAAAAAGAATTAAAGGGTGTCTTTCAAGTGATAGAATTACCGGAGGGAGACAGCTGCTCAGATCTGTCAGGTGAAAAAGGAAAGGTGGACTTGAGATTATCAGAGCTAAAAGTGCCATTTCTAAGAGAGAATTTTATCGATGCAAAATGTGTTCCAATGGAAATGGAGCTTCAAACTCCAAAAGAAGTTTGTAATGGAGAATCTGGAGGAGGAATTATGGATTCAAAGGAGGATTATTTCCAAAACAATGTTCAAGTTGCCCTCTCTTGCTTGCCATCAGGATGTGTTGGTTTCTCAAACTCAATCTTATCGTGTGCTTCTGGTCGTGTAAGCACTGAGTCATGGCCTCATGAACTTGATTGTTTTTCTACGGTTCCAAAATTGAAATCAAATTTTGAAGCATTCCCTTTCTATGGGAAGATTGTTGTTTTGAAACCAAACCCTGGGAAGGCAGAGGATGCTGCAAAGTTTTCCCCTTTATCTACCTCTTTTGGTGATTTTCATTTTGGTGATAGGAAAGGTAGAGGGTTGCACTGTCATGATAAAGGAAAGAACTTGGTCAATGACATGAAACCTGTGCAGAAATGGTCTAGTTGTTCAGGATTTAGAGTGTTGACAATCATGCAAAACAGTCGGAGATGATAATGTTTTCTTCCAAAAAATTCTCTGATGTGAAGAACTGCTACAGGTCCTCAATCTACTACCCAGGCAGGTCGTATATGGCTGAGACGGCAAAGAAGCAAATCTCAGAAAGATGGAGGATGACTAAAGAGTTTCAAGATGGACTGGATAGTGGGAATAGGGGCAGAAGCAGAACCCTTGGTGAGATGCTTGCCATGTCAGACTATGAATCTAACCCAGAACACTCATATGATAAGCTGGGTGAGCAGAGATTGGGCAACAGAAGCAACCCCAATGATAAATGTAGGTACTTGCATAGGCATGATAATCTGTGCATGACCATGACACCGAGGTTTGCCATTAATTGGGCAAGTCAGAATATAAGAAAGCAAAACTTTAGTGCTAAAAATTGCTCGAAAACTAGAAACTCAGGATCCGGCTGCATGCAGTCTCAGGGTGTTCCTTATTTGGAACCAGAAAATAAGCACTTGATTGATGGAAACTATGTCATCCAGAACAAGGTGAAGAACAGCATTGAGAAGAACGATCTATCTGGACAACATTCAGTGGCCTCTGAGTTATCAAGGCATGATGTTCTTTTCTCTTCTAATCATGTCACACGTGAAGCTTGGCTAATGCATAAGGATCAAAAGAACGAAATCAACGATGGAAATCTGTCCGGGCAGAATTCTGTGGTATCTAAGTCATTCATAAGTAATTGTGCGTCCGGGCATATGGTTTCTGACAAGGTGGCTGATGAAAACATGGTTGTGGACAAGTCTTCCGGAAATCATAATGAGCATAATTCTTATGTCTTGGAAACTTCAAGTCAACGGGTATGGTGCTATTTTCTTATGTTCTCCCCAACTTATTATTATTATTATTGTTATTATCCAAGTTAATTTCAGGGAGTGGGTTGGGGTGCAGGGAGTACAACCATGGTTGGATTGTAAGATTAGTGAAAATAAAACGTTTCACTAAGTCTAAAATATATGGATATTTGTTATTGGATATTCTGTAAGATCTAAAATAGTTGTTCCTCACTTATTTACCGAATGTGTTTCTTCTATAATGCTGCAGCTTGGAGCTGTGGACATTGCTGGTTAACCAGGAAAAGGAAGCAAGGAATCTCAGAAACTGATAATAATGACACTTCTATTTGATGATGGTACAAGTTTCTGTTGTCCTTGTTGCTTGCCACTTATTTATAATTTTTTTTGCTCTTACAGTAATTTTTTTTTAGATAATATGAGTTTTCATATCAATTTCATGTAT